AGTGTTGCTCCACTAACCACCAGGGATGAGGGTCTCAGTTAGACTCAAACAAAGACTTTTTTTCCCCTCAGTGTGTTACCGAATGTGTGTTACCCTGCCAGTATGTTACTGAAATGTTGTTGAGCGCCTTGGTAAACTGGGCTCAACGTTATGCAAGTGACTAAGTGAGTGAGACTTTTAAAAATCTGATTTACATCCATTCATCAAACATCCTGCTTTGTCAGCTACAGGCAGTGTTTGCTCCCAGCTTCGCTCGTCCCTGAACAGCAACATATATAGATGGGGGAGTACGCTGGGCTGGAATTGCATGCTCAGCCTGGTGTGTGGATGGTTATTTCTGTGGTGGATGTGCGTGCCACGGAGGGAGCTACACCACTGAGAGACGGATCTGGGAAAGTTTAGTCTTAACCTGCATTCTGCATTGAGGTGTTTGTCTTCTGGAGTCACCCGTGGGGCTCATCGTGAACCCACCGGAGGAACAATGCTCTAGACCGGATCCTTCTAGCCGTTGGAAGGGTCAGGTAACCTTAGTTTTAAATCTCAAATGGATTTAAAACTTTGGTACTTGCTACTCTCATTCTGAAAATGCTCCTGTTGGATTTCAACTCACTAGAACCAAACAGTGTGACCTGAAGTAGGGGAATGTGGAAGCCAAAGCCAGTTGTACCTGATTGCCGCTGAAGTCTATGGGATTTAGACACTTCTCTGTCCCAAAAGATGAATACGGTTCCATATGTTTATAAAGGGAAGTTTCTCAACTATTTTTTAATAAGGGACTTCCTGATACCATCCTGAAAAATTCCACAGACCATCCTGTGTGGCTTATTTTGAGAAACTGAACAAAGTAGTACTTGCAGCAAATAAGAACTCGACTAAATGTTGAATGTTCACCTGTTAATCTCCCCAACTCCCCTACCCCCCTCCGCACCTGTTTCCTTATCTGCACACGAGTGTAAATTTGTTGGTTGACCTGCATGAGTGTAAATTTGTCCGTTCTTTTTCTGGATCGTGGACTGATGTCCTTTGAACTATAAAAGGTTTGCAGGTCTAATAATATTTCTCCACGTCAGGTACTACCAAAAGCTGCAAAGAATGAAATCCCTTTTCTGTGACAATCTCTACAGTATTATTTTGAACAATTGTACAGGAGCTTGAAGCAGACTTAAGATTGTACAGAGTGGTTCAATTAATTTATAAACAGCTTTCAAACTTATACTCTATTTTTCTATTGCAACAATTTCTTTCTCAGCCAATCCCAAGAAATTTGACTGTCAGAATCTTGTTTCTGCTCTTAATCTAAGGGACTTGCGAACTCTTTGTCCTTTACCAAGAAACAAGTGAACAATAATTGCCATTTTTAGGCATCCTGACATTTCCTTTCAGAAGATTCGCTGCCCTGTGAAAAGGTGGCTGGTATGTGTGGACAAACTGGACCAGAGTGATGAAAAAACCCCTCAAAGCTAGTCGAAGAACTGCGAGGATTTACCAGCAAGCAGGCAGCCTTCCCCAGCCCAGAGAAGATGAAGAAACGGACGTTTCTCCCATTACAGAGCAGGGGGTGTCCTCGGCAGCGCTCCCCCTTATCAGGAGCATTCCAGCCTGCCCTGTTTGTCACAGGAACCGGCCGGAGCGGGAGCACGCTGGCAGCCAAGGAGTGATTCAGTGGTGATGGGGAAGGGCAGGTGGAGCAGGTAAGTCACCTCTAGACAGGAAGGTATAAAAGATACCTGCATTACAGCGGCTGGGCCACTTGTACGTGGGGAGCTGTTAGAGGTTACTTGTTTTGCCAGACCTACCGTGCTTGGAAACAGCTCAGGAAGCTACGGGGGAGCTCGAATACCTGAAGGCGGCTTATAAATACAAAAGACCCTGAGACTAAGACTGTTCTCTTGGAGAGAAGACTCTTCAGGGGTAGAAATCAAGAGCCCAGAACATGCTTTTTTCCTTCTAAACAGCACTCTGAACAGGTATTTATAGACTTTAATCTGCTGTACACCTCTTAACTTGCTGTGTATTCAGTTACTCTGAGTTAAAGATACCATTGGGGAATCATATTACAGAGCAGCTTGGCCACTGTCTTACCTGCATGTTGTTTTGTCTGGTTTTATGGTGTGGAAAGAAGTTTGCTAGAACTTGTTGGGAAGTAAAAAGTACTTAACTGCTTAGTTTTAAATCTGAGTTTATGTGTCTCTCCTGAATCATGTAGTAATTTATTTACTGGCATGCCCAAAGTTTCTGGAAAGCCCAGGTAAACAGCTGGGAAGGTGAGGTAAATAGCTGCAGGGTCTGAGGAAATGCAGTGTGACCGTGGAGGTCTGAAAGACTGAAGATATTGTATTTAAAAAACAAACAAACAACAAAACAACAAGAAATCATATGATTATGTAGTGCAAAAAAATCCCCAAAACCTAAAAAAACCCAGACCCCTGATAAAAAAAAAAAAAAACCAACAAAAAAAACCCAAACAAAAAACCAACCAAGCCCCCCAAACCCTAACTAATTCTACTGAGGTTCCACACTGCGTATCTTCACTGGGACTCTCCAGCTCTAGCAACTGGCTCTCATTTTGTAGTGCCGCAGTAGCGCCCAGGAGAAATCTTGGTCCCTGTGTCAGCTGCTGCCCAAACCCAATTTAACTTTCTGAGCATCAGCGCTATGGCAACACACCAAAAGACACAAGGAGCAGGCAGAGGCTGACCTGTCCAGTGGGGCAGAATATGAATTAAATCTGGCTTTCCCATGCCTCAGCTCTGTGCCCGACTCTTCATATCTTCCCAGTCTAGGTCATCTACCTGCGTCACGTCGGATCAGGGTGCCACATAATACCAAGATGTTGATAAAAACAAGTAGACTCTAAATTTATTGAAACTAACAAGCAGCTACAGTGTCATGATGACTTTTAGCAATGCGAAAACGTGGGCAAAAGCGTCTATCATCATTGTAAAGCAACTGTTGTGAGTAAACTTCCTCCAGTTTACTATCAAGATACTGCTGTTGCTATAGCTGTCGTATTACAAACTAGTAAAAACCCCAACAGAACAGCCTTTTTCACCTAGGTTATGAAATTACAGTTTGCGTAAGCCAAGGCTCTCTCTTTCTGTGGTTACCTTCTGCCACCGGTTTTGCTGCTTGTAATTTCTGACAAACACTCCAAGCTGAGGGACTGCAGAGAATTGGGCACAGAGGATGGAGTTCTGCAAAACAGAAGGTTTGGTACAAACAAACCAACCAACCAAACCAAGAGTTTCCCTTATCTCTGTGCCAATTTGGGCTTGGATCTGTAATTCGTCAGCATCTGCCAGATTGTGCTAAAACATGCATGGTGATCTGTAGCCAGAAAAAATACATTAAAAAAACCCCAAAACATTACAACTTGCTGAAAAGCACAGAAAGTCTGTGACTGAAAATTTAACTTGAGGGGAGGTTTTACAAAAATTTCTTAATTTAGAATAAGAGAAGAAAAAAGCAGGAAGGTTCTTAAAGATGGTTTTGGCTCTGGCAATGCTAGCTGGGATGGGAGAGGGGGAGAATACTTCTTGCTTAAATAATGGAGCCTTTTTTTTGTGCAATGTGAGGAATACGTGGTCCTTCTGATACCTTGTATTAGCCTTTTATGCTGAGACACGAACAGTCTAGCCCATGCTGGTGAGCCACTGCTGAACTGACTGGAGTCCTATAATTACAGCAGCAATCTGAACATTTGTGGCTTGTCATCGGTAAATCTCCGAGTACAAAGAATCAAGCCTAGCTAGTTCAGTGACACATCCTAAAAAAATGCTCCCCGGGCATACAGCATCAGGGCCCTCGCTGGGAATTTCCTCCAGCTAAGCGGTTGCTCTCAGGTAAAAGTGCTCAACAGCTGAAAAGTCATATGTGTGAGTGCCAGAACGTACGTGAAGCTGCATGTCTAGCCTGGGATAACTGGAATCCAAGGTAATACTTCGGTTGCTGAAAAGGCAGGAGGAAGTTGTAAACCAATTTGCTAGAACTGGCGTATTGGCCATTAAACTCAAGGCTCCTGCTTGCACACCACAACAAAGCAGAGAGCACATGGCAGCACACAGCAAAGCTTGGGCCGGGCTGGCACTCCTCCAGGGCCAAGGACGGGGAAGAACTGTTTCTCTAGGGAAATCAGAACAACGAGGAAACAATGGAGAATTCCCCTAACTCTGGCACCAAGGCCATTTCCTCCAACACTGCTTTTCTTGCTGTGTCATGGTGACAAGACAGAGATGCGTCTTGTGCTACTTAGGGCCAAGGATGGAACAAACTTTGCAAGAGAACAGTTTCCTCACCACCCTTGGGTTGTCCTGTGACATGAGGGAGTTCAGATCCCACTGTGGATAGACAAAACCAGGCAGCATCGTTGGGTGGTGCCTCACTTGCCTGCTAGGCAGCCTGCAGAACCATGATTCAAGACACAAGCTCTGCACACCAATGAAGAGATTCACCCCCCTGCTACATCCACAACTGAACAGTGTTATCTGTCTCTTAGGCCTTGCTCATGCTGCCACCATAATATCTGAGTGCTTCCCAGACTAATAGACTGCCATACCGAGGTCCCTACTTGACCTCATGGAGTCTTCTGCTCTCCTCCCTGCTCAGGTGTCGGGGAGCACCAGCTGGGGTAGGTTCTCATCGTGTTTTTTCTTCACAGAGGGAGGCATGTACTGGGAAAGGCTGCACCCCTCTATAAGGCCATGGTGGTTCTGGTGAAAAGGCTTGGGCTGGATCTCTGCTGGCTGCTTGCTTCTTTGCAGGATGTTTAACTTCACCTTTGGTACGCAGCTCCCAACAGGCTACCTGTGTCATTCTCTCCTGTAGCAGGGATCTATTCCAGGCTGAGGATGCAGTGGAGGCCATGAACTTGCTCTTGGTTCCTTTTAAGGGGTTAAACATAGGTCTGGTGATGGGTGTCTTCACATTGTTTAAAATGAAGGCTGTGGTTTTTTTCTCTTCCAGAGTCTCCCAGGGCTCTATTTGTTTCCCGGGGCTCCGTCATGTCGTGTTTCACGCAGCTGTGGCACTCCAACACGCCAGACTCTCCCACCACCCCAGTCCCTGCATCTCCAAGTGAAATTCCCATCCCTATCAGCCCCATTGTTGTCACCTCCCCAGGAGATGGCAAGAGGAAGGCGAGGTCCCCAACCGACAAGCCAGGCTCTCCAAACCCGACGTCTCCGAAGCCTACCTCCCCCGTTGAGTGTTCCATTTGCTTCAACACCTATGACAACACCTTCAAGACGCCCAAGCTGCTCCAGTGCTCCCACGTTTTCTGCCTGGAGTGTGTGGCCCGCCTGAGCAAGGGGCTACCCCCAAACCAACCGGAGGACCAGCTCCCCTGCCCCTTCTGCCGGCAGCTGACCAGCATCCCTCTGGAAGGTGCCCCAGCACTCCAGACCAGCAAGGAGCTCCTTGCCACACTGCCCCCTGAACTGCAGCAGGAGAAGGTGCTCTGGATGGAAGGGACCAAGCTCTGCTGCCGCCAGTCATCCGATGACCCTGAGAATCCAGACTCGTGTATCTCCATTGACGTCGCCATGAGCAAGCCAGAAAGTCCGGAGGCTCCCCCGACGGGGTTAGCTGGGAGGCTGTCCCGCTGCGACATGTGCGATGACTGGAAACGCATAGTCCTCCTCTCTGCGTTGATCATCATCCTCTTCTGCATCATCCTGTGGCCAGTCCAGTGTGCTCTGAAGACCGGGAACCTCCGCTGCTTCACAAGGACTGTGGCAATGAGCAGGCCGGAGTATCTCCCCTCTAAGCACACCACAGCAGCAGCACCTGTGACACAGCTCCCTTTCCACTAGCTTGCTCCCATCTCCTGGGGCTGTTGGCTCCCTCCCCACACGTCAGCATTCCCTGACAGCACTCTGTGGTCTGGCAGACCCCACACTCCTCCTGTGCCTGCCCTTGGACACATGCATCCGCCTTCAGGAGCTCTGCGGAAGTACTTGTCTGCCAAGCTGCCTCCAGCCCAGGAATGCTCCAAGGAGCTTTCTCAGCATCCTTCTGCCAATCTCTCCATGGGAACCAGAGCCTTGGAAGCAACAGACAGGTTTCCAGGGCTGGTTTTGACGCGTGGCACACGGCCGTGTGCTGTCTTGGCTGGATACCAGATGACAGTGGGTGTAGTTCCTCTACCTCCCTTAGGGAATAAAGGGCTATATTTGAAAACTGAAGGATCTACATGATTATTCCTAAGAGGAGCTGGGATTGGGAGGGTAAAGACACGTCAAAGTCGTATTAACATGAAAATTAACCTTATTCCACACGCTTGGATCAGTTCCACTGTTACTCAGTGTTGGAGGTGTAAATGCTGCCTCCTGCTGACAAAACACGGATCTACCACTGCTACCCCCCACCTCGGTTGTGTTACCATCCGGACGAGCCTTTGAACAGAATAGAGCAGCCATTCCACTCGTTTTTCCTAAGAAGATGCTTAAAAATCACTCATCCCTGCATGGAAACCGATTTTGAGCACGGGGGGTGAATTCTGCTAGGCACACTGACACAGCAGCATAACCCTGCCCCTCGTTACTTAATCAGTGAACGCCACTCATACTTCTCACAGGCAAACTGTTGCCAAAAGGAAAGAAGTTCCATCTTTTGACAGCTTTACCCTCCTCATCTTAAAACGTGTCAGTATTAAGACACAGGCCAGTTGCTTACACTGTATTTTTAGTTAATGCAATGATCTTCTAACAGTGATTAGCAAAAGTCTTCATGATGAAGGCGGCTTACGATTAAATGTTTTCTATTCAAACCCATGGATGTAAGACAGTATTGTGTGCAAGTACCATATGTGTATGTATTAAATTATGTTTTATACAACGCAAGGTGTCAATTTGTAGCTATTACTCCACATTTCCCTTCTTACTTGCAGTCGGAGGTGGCCACTTAGCAGTTCCGAGTCCAGCTGCATTCCCAGATCACAGTAGCTACACGGCAGGTGACATGTCCATAGTCTGCCCCATGCATCAGCTGTCCTGGTGTTGCACAATCCTGCACACGTGGACACCTTGATCCTGTAAATTCATACTTACGACCATCTAGGCAGTGTTGTCCCAGGTGGGACTTCCCTCTGAGCTTACCTGGTTTGACCTGAAAAATGAGAAGTGGCAGTCTACTCAGCTGGAAGAAAGACTTTTTCAGTCTCCCTTTCCAGAAATTCTAATTTTAATGAGAAGAAAAGGCTGAAGCAACAGCACAAGTAACTCAAGGCCGTTGCTATGCAAAAGTGCTGTGGAAAGCCGCTGCATGTGCTGTATCTGCAACACCTTTGCTGTTCAGCTGCAGGCTGGTATTATCTGTGCAAGACACATGTCTGCAGAAACTACTCCAGGCACCGTAACAACTCCTAGCCAAAGTCATCGGGCTTGACAGGGATTCTCACTTTATCATTCCGTCCTTCCCCCTGTGCTTGACACTGAAAGGATATCTTCACAGCACCAATTTGCGTTCTTGGAAAAAGAGACTCGCCAAGACTTAAGGCAGAGAAGGCCCTTGCATTTCACCCAAGGTACAGCTGGGACTAAGCCCAGCAGACACTAGCAGAGATGAAGTGCTTTGTCATTACATCTTTGGTACCGTTCACCCACTGATGAGACCTAAGGGCTGGTGAGAGGGAAATAACATCTTCAGCCTCATAAAAATCTATTTTTACAGTGGCAAGCGGGCCACAGAGGTGTTCTCACAGTTCCAGCTGTTCCAAGTAGCCCGTCACAGCATCCCTGTGGGGGCTGTCCCACGGCGCTTCCCCTTCTCGCCACGTATGTGGAAACACAGGGTGGAACGTGCAGCTGAACCTCTCACTCAGTAACAGCCAGTCAAAAGGAAGATTCAAAGCAGGGGAAGCAGGGCCCTGAACAGAGGCATTTGGTGGTGGCAGACACTCAGGATGATCCGTTGTCCACATCAACTCTCAACTCACTTTCCCAAAATGCAAACCACTTCAAACAAACAAACAAAAAAAAGCCTTGAGAATATTCAACATTTATTAAAAGTGCAATAAAAATAAACAGTTCTCCTGTCCCTGTGACACAGGACCAGAAAGACCAGCCAGGAAATACAGCCAAGGTATGTCATTGTGCTTTTGTTCAACCCTTTCTGCTCAGCACTCGGAGCCCACACTCCAGGCACTAACACCCCAACTATGCCCCAACTCCCTCCAGTTTCAGAGACCTAGGAGAACTTCAACATCAACCCCACGCATGCTCTGCGGGTCGAGGCCCTGGCACTTGGACCCAAGGCTGCCCACAGAGCACACCTTCAGACACTGATGAATCCTGCAGGAAGGGGTTCTTTGGCAGGACCATTGGCAGGCCTTAGGGCTGGAACAGCAGGAAGCACCGGCAGTCAAAAGCCAAGATTCATCAACAGAGCTGAAATACTCCACCCAGTGACTTGCTCATCTTCATGGCACTGGTCAAGTCACAAACGCTCCGACAACACCCCTACTCAGCAGACACAACACTTGCCTTGTCGTACAGTTGCAGGGGAAAATAAAAAGAGGTCACGCAGCAAGGTAATGGCAGAGCTGCATCAAGCTTAGAGGGGCCCAGTTCAGAAAGTTCAGCTTAGGTGAGTACCCTAGGCTGTTACTCGCCAGGGGTGGCTAAAAGCAGAGTGCACAAAGCTGCTTTCCTACCCTTCAGCACCCATCAGCTAGGTGGGACTTCACTTCGCTCAACATTCAGACCCACACAAAGATGGAGATGCTCACTTCTGCTGTGAAACCCACGTGCGGGGCAGCTAGCAGACTCGCAGGCACACACACACACACAGAACCTGCTGTACTACAGCAGCAGGGATTGTTCAGTGCGCTTTGGCAGGGTTGCATAGAATTCTAGAATGGGTACAGCCAAAAGGAAGCCTGAGAAGAACCAACGGAGGCGCAGGTGCCCGGGTCCAGGCGGTGCTCTCCATTTCTCACCCTCACAGGCAGCAAGGTTACTCCAGGATTTAGTCTAAAACCACTTCTAGCTTAGAAATGATTGACCTGATGAAAACATTCAAGTGTACTAACATTTTACTAATGCCCTAAGCGGGCAACCCTGGGAAAGCTCCTAAGCCATTTCCATTCCTTTCAACAATTTGTGTGTAAAAAATAAGAATCTTAAATTAAAAAACAACAACAACAACAAAACCTAAGCCTTGATGCCCTAATGAATGTCCAGAGGCACTTTCACATAAATATCAACCTAGTGATGCAGGGAAGAATGGGAGAAGATCCTTCTCCTGAGTAAGTTAGGTCAAGGCATGTTCTTAAGGCGCACTCTGCTTGCTTCTTACTTCCTCGCTGAATCCAAGGTGCTTGGGGAAGGCAAGACGGGCAAAACAAACTGTCCGCAATTGCAGAAGTTGGAAAGGGTGGATGTAAACACTGTAAAACCTGCATTCCAAAACAAGAAGGAAGAAGGATGGCACGGTTTACAACCGGGAGAAGAGCACATCGATAAGGTTACAGAGCTGAGACACTCCCAGCACGTGAAGTCTCTCCTACTTGTTTGCGTACGTAGCACAGCCATGTGCTCCGACTCTGACAGCTTCCTGACATAACAGTCCAAAAGGCAGAGCTCCCCCCGGCCCTGCCGCCCCCTCACTACTGGTAACGTCTTAAATATATTTCCCTGTTGAGCTCTCATTCCCTCATTCCCCCTGTCCTCCCATCAGCAACTGGCCGCCGTTTGAGGCTCCATCAAATTTCCAGGCATAGCTGCATTCCCCGATGCAGGCAGAACCATGGAGATCTGCATAAGCTGAGCTGGAGAGGAGCTGGGTCAAAAGCCACGTAAACAGACTGCGGTGACACTCCGAGTTAATCAAGGGAAGCATTCCTACCTGTACAGCCTCCACACAGCTCATCTCCGGCTCCTTTATCGCCCTGTATTACTCATCCCTGAAACCTTTGGGCTTTTGATGTTGAGGTTCTCGTAGACGGAAGCTGACTCATCATCAACCCTGTCAAGAAACAAAGCCGTGCTATTAACAGCCTCACTGCTCTGGATCTTTTCCCAGAGGCAGATAGCCAGTGGCAAGCAGTTAGTAGCCCAGCCAAGTTCCCTTTTTCCCCTCCCCAGCCCCATGGATAGGGTGACATCGGGTTACACGCTGTTCTCAATCCGTTTTCTCTCCCTCTGGCTGGGCAACCGCTCCTAGCTTCGAGATGGAGCCTTGAACCTTCCTCCACATATCAGCCTTTCCTGGATGCAAAGTTTCTGCAGGATCCAGTACTACTAGAATGACAGTTCCTGCTATTTCCTACTATTTCCTTCTCTTACTTACTCTGCATACCCAATTTCTCTGGATTTTCCAAATCTAATGGAAGGAGAGGGCTGTTCCAAGGGCCAGATTCAGATACCTCTAAAGCAGGTTTGACACCCAAAGCTGGACTAATAGGAGCTCTCTGGAACTGAAGGTACCTGCCACGTAGAGCTCATCTTGCTCGGCTCAGTCCCACAGAGTCCTCCCTGGCCTCAGGTTCAGAGCTGCAGTTTCAAATTTGGGCATTTTAAACAGGACACAAATGTTTCTTGAGTCCAGCGGGGAAGATCCCAACTGGCCACAGGCAGCAGGAGTTGGAAGGTTCATGATGCCAGCAAAGGATCAGGATTTAGCTTTAGCGCTGGGTGAAAGCAGGGGCACTAATGCACAGCAGGACCAGTGTGGACCTGCCTTCACCTGCCTGTGGGGTGCACTGGGAGCTAAGCAGCACCCTTCCCTGCCTCCTTCTGCCCTCTCCTGGCTCCCAGGGTGGCAGCTGCACTAGTCCTGGGCCCAGCCCTGGCTCTTCCTACAGCAGGGTCTC